GCTATTAATGTTTAGCTGAAGATTAGTAATGAAACATTTTCGCTTTAATATTGTTTCATTATAGGTTTATCTACCATTCTCTTAAAAAAATTTCTAAGGTACTTTTTGTGTACATAAGAAAGCTATTCAGGCTCTTCAACGATTTTTTTCTTAGTTTCTTGGTTTTGCTGACAAAAGTATCAACAATGTGATTGCCGTACGTAACTTTATTTGCTTTATGGGATTATTTCTGTTTTATATGTACTGTTGTATATTTTTTCTCATTGTTTTCAGTCTGTGATCGAACCGAATACTTCCAATGGAAGGTTCTGTAGATTTAATGTTAACGTTGATGTTATTTTTCTCAGGTATGTCTATATCTGTTCACCCTGCAGATGTGGTTGCTTCAACTAAGGTAGCTTTGTTATGTTTCTTTTCCTCTTGGTGGTTTGCAATCTATAACAAACAGATTACTCTAACTCTCTCAAACATATTAATATAACCCAAGTGATTGATGTGATATCTATTCTCACAGCTGACTTGCTTAGTGTTGCCTAATGAGCATTGTGCTTTGCTTGCGCCAAAATCAATCTGGAATGCAGATAAGGCACAAGAGATGTGTGCACTTGTGGAAAATATATTGCATTTGGAGCCAATTGAAGTATGTTCCTTTCTATTATGTGACTTCCTCCTTTTACATGCATGCATTTGCTGCTTAAAGTCTTGTATATCTAGGATGTTTTGCCAGATAGGCACCATTTCATTATTTTTCGAGCGAATAGTACTATAATAAAATATTTTCAGTTATCTCTTAGTCTACAGAAGCTAATCGTTTTTTCTTGGACTATCTTGGGGGTGTAAGAATAAGTTGTTGAATGCACCTTCTGTATATTGTGGTTAAAGCTAGATACACAAAAATGATTACATTGATTTGATCTGGTAAATCCTATATTTTTAGTTGTCTCTTAGTCTAGAGAGGCTAATAATTTTATTTTTGAATGTCTGAGGCTATGGTTTTAACCTGTTGAATGCATATTCTACATATATGTGGTTAAAGCTGGGTATTCCAAAATGATCATATTTATTTGTTTGGATAACTTTCCATGTAAAAGAAAAAGTGGAACACCATAGCCCAATTTATGAAGATCTGAGAGATATGCTCATCTGGAAGAAAAAAGAAAACAGAGGTAGTTTCACAGAGGCTATAAATCTTACAACCAATCCTTGGAGGCGTGTCATGTCTCTTTTGACCTGTTCTTGTGCTTTTAGTGCCTTCAAGTTTATACCATTCACAACTTCATCCTCATTCCTTCCTATCTTTGTGAAAATTAGCAGAACTGTCATATAGAGCTTTCCCTTAAATAGTTATTATTTTCTTTTAAAAAATGTGCTGACTATTTTTTACCTTTCTGACCCTATTTAAAGTATCAAATATTTTGGATCTTTTCTTGCATTAAATATATGTAAATAAGTATAAGTGAAGATTTATTAGTTTCTTTTTCTCACTATTCTGTAGTTAAATGTATTCCGGGGGATCACTTTGCCTGATGCTCCAAAATTTGGGAAGGTCTTTGGAGGACAGTTAGTTGGACAGGCATGATTAGTACACTTCTCTCTCTATCTTGTTGGCTTTATCATGCAAGTTGGATATGTCATGCTTACATGATATTCAAATCAATTGAACTGATTACATAATTTTGCAGTATCAAAAGGATAACAATGGTTTTTTCATGACACAGAGTGCATTTTCCTGTAATATCATTTTTTACACGCAAAGCACATTCTTTAACAATTGTTATAAGTTTGGCTTTTTTATTTAGATAAAGTTAGATTGTGATCTTTAAATTTTTAAAAAGGGTTAAATTTAATATTTTGTTTAGAAATTGCTATATTACTGCTACTGATTATCCTACCATGTGAGAATTATTGACTTTTCTCTGTCTATGTTACTGTAATTATATGTGCAGGCAGTGGCTGCAGCATCAAAGACGGTTGATTGCCTTAAAATTGTACACAGTTTACATTCATATTTTCTTCTTGTTGGAGACTTTAACAGTAAGTGCATTATCTATGTAGAGGTTATTGGCTCATGGTGTCTTCCTTCTCTACCTGCAAATCACATGTACATTATACTTTAATAGGCCTGTCAGATAAATAGTTATTATTCTTTCGCCTTAAATTTTTCAGTTTCCTTTTCGATTGTCCATCCCTTGTCATCCAATTTATACATGATCTGGAGTTCTGAAAGGCTATAAAACTATATGAAAAAGATTGACAAGTTTTTGTAATGATTATCATAAGATTTCAGATTTCATGATTTCTTTAACAATTTTTATATATTATGTTCCTCAAAAAGGTTGTTATATATCCAAGCCGATTGGACTGACCATAGTGAAATTCAGACCAATAAAGGTCTTCTGTCTAAGTGAAGCAACTAAACTTAGCCGTCAGAGAAATCAGAGCTTTTGCAAGTTTTTGTGCCTGAAGTTTTCATGTTAATTGCTGATTAAACATGTTATTATTTCTTCTGCTATCGAAGAAAGTGGAGAATCTTTATAGTGTATCAATAATTTAAAAAAATTGTTGTATTGTTTCACTACATTCATTATCATTTCATGGATTATGATAGTTAAGAATGTTTTGGAATATTTGTAATCATATCATTGCAGTGCCGATCATATATGAAGTTCACCGTCTACGTGATGGCAACAACTTTGCTACCCGGAGAGTAGATGCAATACAAAAAGGGAATGTCATATTTACATTACTTGCTTCTTTTCAAGTAATTATTCACTTCTTCAGTCGTACATATTTGATGTTTTTGGAAATGCTTTTAAGATTTAAAATTCAGGTTGTTAGTTTTATAAAAAGTCACCTGTAACACTGGATTGAATCAATTTTGCAGAAAGAAATTGAAGGGTTTGACCACCAGGAGCCGAGAAAACCATCTGTTCCAGATCCGGATACCGTAAGTAATAAATATCTACCTTAGTATTTTATTTTCCACCCAATTGCTCTGCCAGATATTGAACTCTAATTCAATTGCAGCTTCTATCGATGGAAGAATTACGTGAGAAGCGTCTTACTGATCCTCGTCTTCCTAGGTAGGCATTTCTGTTTGTCAGCTGTAGTTTGTGGTTAACTCCTGCTGTTAATACATATAAATAACTTCACAACACTTTTGCCTCTTGATGAACATTCTTTTGTGCTATTAACTTGGTTTTATTTGTTATTTTAAGTTACTATTGTTTGGTGATTTTCTAAGTATTTGAACTATCTTATGTCGGACAAAATAGTGGTCAAACTAATTTGCCACGTGGATAGTTCAGGAAAAGAAGAAATTTAGGAGAGGAATAGAAGAAAAGAGATAGGCTAGAGAGAATTGGAAATCATGGTGAAAATATAGAGAGAATAAGAATGATTGGGATAAATTAGACAAAACGATCATCAAAAGAACAAATACGAAGAGGGAAGATAGGACTAAAACTTAGCAAAAGAATTCTTAATTTATGACGTCTACATATCTCATTTGTTGGTGTTACTAGCTTTTTATAAACATTAGTTGTAACTGATAATGAAAATTATAAGAAGGAAGATCTAAAAGATCCCATTTTTTATAATACTTAAATCTACGTAGGTAAGAAACTGAAATATTATAATGTTTAAATAAACCTAAGGAACTCAAATACAAAATAACAATTATTATTACAAAAATCTTTTATTTGAAAACTTGACCTTATTTTGCATTTTTCTGTCCCACCTGATGAAAACTTGACCTCGTGTTTTTAATTGGTGAAGCATGAAGGTAGAAAAGGCTTGAAAATTCTCTTCAAAATCTTTAAAAACTCAAGGCTTTTGATAATTTCATTAAAAAAAATTGGAAGTTAACCAAACATACAGATTCTTTAGGATCATAAAACCAACAAAGCAAAATAAAATTATTCTAAAAAATTTTTCAATGCCATCATCATGTATGAGAACCACTTCAATAGCAGTAGGAGGTAAAACATGATTGTTGAAAGAATGAGGTTGCTCAACATCATTAGCATGAACAGATGAGCAAACATTTCTTGAACGTACACCTGTTGATTTGAGAGGAATTTCAAGTTTTTCATCTTCTAACACAGAAGTGTAAGTTATAGTCTTTATTTGAACAGTTAATTCTTGCATAGCATCTTATATTTTCCTAACTTATGAGTATAAGTCTATTTCTAACTCAATATTTAACTGCCAACAACTACTGAGAGAATTTTTAGCATATCCATCATCTTCAACACGTTGATATTTGACACAAGTTAATCATGATGATATTTAATATTTTCTTTGCATCCATGAGAACAAAAAACTTGGTACAACGCATTATATGTAATCAAGTAGATTATATGATTATTGTAACTATAAAAGTATTTATTGGGTTCCATGTCAAGTTGTAACATTTAAGCTGATCTCCCTGAAAGTAACTCTAAGGTGTGAATTCAACCAAAACTGACTTTAGAAATGGGTTGGACACACTAAAAACTCTTATTATCCAGGAAAAACCAGTCTACATGACTGGTCAAACTGGCTTAGCCAAACTGACCTCAAACTGAGTGAACAATCCAAAAAAAAAATCCCACTTGCATGACTCAGCAAATGAGATTCACACACCAATCTCCAGTTGTTGAGGGTAAGGATTCCAATAAAAAAGTCATCCAACAGTGTTACTTGCAGATCGGCCATTTGTTTGTTCCTTGACAGTTGGGAAGGCAGAGATCTAGGAATGCTACAGAGGTTTAGCTTTTGGCGGCGAGTGAGATGCATTTCCAGGAGATTTGGTGGCCCTACTCCAGGAGGGGCCAGTCTGCACTTTTTGAGCCCATTAGGAATGGTATTTGTGTCGATCCCCGTGCAGTGGATGGTGGGGAACTAAAGGTAGTCGGCTATGTGAGATATCCTAAATCTGTGATTTCCTATTCTTTTTTTATTTCTTCTTCAACATTCTTTTGTGGAGACTATTCTTCTTTTTTCTTTTTTTGTTTCGCAAGAGAATTTTTTCCCAGCTGACTAGAATTCATTTTTTTGGAATGGATTTTTTTTTTTCTTTTTTCAAGGATTGATTTTTGTGAATGGAACATGGGAATCTGATTTCCTTTTTAAGTAGTAGACGTAGAGATAACAGTTAGGCTCTTATATCAATTGATGCAGGATGACTAGTGGTCCCACAGATAATTTAGAAAAAAAGAAAATTTAGGTGAAAGATTAGAAGAATACAGATAAGGAAGAGGAAATTGGGATGAAGATGAAGAAATATAAGTAGAAGTAGAGTGAACGAGATGTATGGGATAGAATAATAACCAGAAAAATAAACACTGACAAATAACATAGAATAAAACCTTAGTAAAAGAATTCTTGATTCATCTACTAGTCTCTGTAAAGGGATTTGTTACAGCTAATAAGAAAAATTATTAAAGAAGAAATCTAAGATGTTCGAATTCATAATACTCCAGATCTGCCTAAATAAGAAACTAAATTTTTATTATACCTAAATAAACTTAAATAACCTAAGTAATTTAATAATAGAAAAAATAGTTACTATTGTTACAAAAATTTCTCTAACTGAAATTTAATGTAATGTCTTCTTGTTCTGCCCTACTATCCATTTCAGTTATTTAAATAAACTTCTAGACATAAGTACTCCTAACCTGTTTTGTCTTGAGGGTGCAATGTCACCATATTAATCGGGCTTGAGTTGCATTTTATGTCAACATTCTGTTATTTCAGGGGCTACCGGAACAAGGTTGCTACAAAAGAATTTGTTCCTTGGCCTATAGAGATAAGGTTTTGTGAGCCTAACTATGCTACCAATCAGACTAAAGCACCCCCCAGGTAGTCTAGTTTACCAGGTTGAACAATCTCTTCTTTGCCACTATTCTGAATATATTCATTAACCGTTGTGGATATGTGGACTTTCTTTGTTTATATGCATATTCTTTTATGGGTTTTCTTGACTGTGATCACAATTTGTGAACAGTTTAAGATATTGGTTTAGAGCAAAGGGAAAACTTTCAGAAGACCAAGCTTTGCATAGGTAAGCAACTTAAAATTGTTGTTTCTTTTCCTGAAAAACTCATTCTTCCATGAAAAACATATTAAGAGGCACTGGTACGTCTGCGTTACATGAACAACAAGGATTCTATACATATCTTCATGCTATTCTTGATTTTCATAATGTTGTTTCTTACTCACTGTTGCTTAAACAAAATTTCTGTTACCTAAAGATTGTTCAGAATTTACACATGTATGCACGTAAGAATTTGGTATGAATTCTCAATTCCCAATGCAATAGTGACTGTGTTTACATCGTGATTTGGTTGCATGGGATCTATTTATTCTTTGAATATCATTTTTTGTGCTGTAGATGTGTTGTGGCCTACACTTCCGATCTAATATTTAGTGCAGTCAGTTTAAATCCACACCGGAGAAAAGGTTTTAGGTCAGCTTCACTCAGTCTGGACCACTCGTACGTATCTGGATGCATCTACTGTATGATTCATGGTTTTCATTTTTTTAGCAACAATAGTCTTGGTGGTCCTATACTCAAAAAGGATCTTATTTTTTTGTCTGCAAAGTGATAAAACTTATGTTCTTGCTTTTCTTTTTTGGTCAGGATGTGGTTCCATAGGCCTCTTAGAGCTGATGACTGGTTATTATATGTGGTAATTGTTATATGCTGTTCTTTCTCGTGATTAGCTTTGTCTTCTCTTCGTTTAAAATTGTTTCCATGTTCAATGTCTCAAAGATTTGTGGCCCTACTGCCTTCAATGGACGCGGTTTTGTTGAGGGTGAAATATTTAACAGAAAGGGACAGGTATATATTGTGTTCACCACTTACATTCCTATGGCATTTAGTCCTGTTCTTGTTTCGCTCTACCTTTTGTTGCTTTTGTTTCCACCAAAGCAGAATTATGTTGTTAGTAAGTGAACATAACTGAATAACATGCATATGCGCTCGCGTATGCATTCATGACTTAGAACATTCATATGGCAATTAGTTTTTCTTGCTTTCCTCTGCCTTCTGTTGGTTTTCTTTCCTCTCTAGCAGAATTGTGTCACCAATAAGTGCAAAAACACACACATTTAGATCTCTATATATCATGTCGTGACTTGGAGCATTCACATGTAGAGTAGTCCTCTTGCTTCCTTGTGCATTTTGTTGCTTTTTTTTTTTCCACCCAAGCAACATTATATCTTTAATAAGTGAAATTGACTTTCATCATGGACAGCTTGTGGTATCGGTGACCCAAGAGGCCCTGCTTAGGGAAGCCAGACATCCAAATCCATCTGCTGTATCAAAGCTTTAATGAGAGTATTGCTGCATTCAGAAATGGACTGTTGGGAATTGCTCAGATATCAGTGCTTGAAATTCTACTTGAATATAATTTTGGAGGTTCAAGATTATCTAGGCGCAAGAAACAAGATCAAAATAATGGGCTAAAATAATCTTATTGCATGATCTTATGGACCAAAAGGAGAGCATAATCTGCTGCTCTCAATATATACTATATATATATATATATATATGACATTCTGCCATGGGTTTTTCCCTTTTGCATTGTATTCTAAATCTCTCTTACGGCGAATTGTGCATTGCAAAAATAAAAATAAAAATCGCTTATGACTATTTAATTATTCCCAATATACATATTAAATTATTTTATGTAATTTTTTAAATAATATTTGTTTACGGTTTGATGTATTGCATAAAAATCTGAAGTAAGAAATAAAAGGAGATATTAATTCTGAGTACATTAAAGATTAAAGATTCTGAGTGTTCTGGGTGTTTATTATCTAATGGGTAGATGCCAAAAAAACAAATTAGGTTAAAAGGGGGGTGATCCATTTGCTTTTAATTCACCAGCCAACTATTATCTCTACAGCCAAAAACTATGAATTTATTTTAATAAGAATTTTAAATAAATTAATGATATTTGTTATACTGACTGAACCTGATTTTATTTTAATAAAATTAATTATATTTTCCAAAAAAATTGGAACGATACTGAGTAGATCTAAACAAATCTGAAGGGCCGAATGAATTGAGAGAGCGGAGAAAATCCATTTCTTCTGGCTCCTTAATCTTCTTCAGATTGCACCCAAATCACCGCAACTCGCCATATCTTTCCTCACTTCCCAGCAAACCCGCACACACCCCCCGAAAACGATTTTCTTCCAGCTACATCTTCCTCACACATCAGATCTAACAGAGAAGCAACACCCAAAATCGAGACCCCACCTCTCCTTTGAGCAGCAAACGGGTCGGCTCCTCCATCTTCCTCACTATCGATGCCATTCCCAGAAACTCCAAAGCTCCGCCAACCTCTTTCCTTTCTCCTTTCTCCATTCTCCTCTGCTCGCTGCCCAGCCTATGCCGAATCGGACTCGACCAGTCCCCTCCAGACACGCGGACAAGTGACCTGTCGTACCTCCCGCCTTCGCAGACCTACCGCGCCACGTCACCGCTCACAGCCAGTTTAATCGAAAGCTTCATTGGAACCTGCGATTTGCTAGCCGAAGGAGAAGCCGCAAGCGACACCGCTGTTCTCTCCTGCTCGCCACGCATCCCTTCGTCACTGCCACCGCGTTTCGGCACCCCTGTTCCCTGTCGCTGCACACCGAAACCCACTCTACTCACCCAGTGCCTGCTCTGGAAGTCCTCGCAGGTACCTCCTTCTTCTACTCAGATTTCTGTTCAATTTGGATTTTTTTAAGTTCCTTTTTGTCGATTTTCTCGAATGAACATATGGAGCTGATTTGTCCGATGAATTTTTTGCTGTCTATTATCGCTGTTCACAGTGGGTTTTGTGATTCGTTTTACTTTCTATTTGGATTAAGTTTAAGGTGGTGATTGAGTTGCTTTTTACAAGATAATTGACAGCTTTTGATCAAATATGTTAGTTATGGTAGTTTTTGAGTTAATGGTATGCGTTTTGTTCTACTGTAATGTTAGGCTTCTGTTGTCATTCATTCTTGTTTGTTTCGAACATATGCTGCTTTATTTGTTTACATTGGCATGACAATTCAGTTAATTGTGTGGACTATATTGTTGGAGAGTAATTGGTGATTAAATACTTGATTTATAATTACTTTTATTCCTTGCTTATTGGAAGATTATGAATATTTTAAATGGATGAGTTTGTTTCGATTTGAGCATCAATTTGATATTTGGTTCTTCTGATGTTATATTGAATGCTTATTATATTCTTGAAGATAAACTAGCAGGATCCTTGATATCTCTTGATGTATAAGAATTGGTGCATGGTTTGGGTTTGTTGTAGAATATAATGTTACCATTTCTTCACTAGCATTTTTAGTTCTCCTTCTATGTGGTTTCAATATCATTAAGAATCTTATAAGTCATTTTCGCCATACAGGTGACCTTAGTGGTGACTCCATTTCCTTGATTTTACACTCTTGGTTTTCTTCTAAAAAAATATGAAAAAGAAGAAAAAGTTATTTTCCGTAACTTATCTTCAGTTGTATTAGATGTCTTAAGTGAACCTGCTTGTGTACAGAAGAAAACAAATTAGTTTTATTTCTGTATGTAGTCATGTCTTTGGTTGTAAAGAAACTGTTGAAGTTGGGACTTGAGAAGTTTTTAATTAGGTCGACTCATAGTCATATATCTACAATCTTAAGCTCAAATTTCCAAATGTGCTCTTCTTTCAGTATGCTGAATTTTGAATGGAAGTGGACAATTGTAAATATTATAAACTAATTCTGTTCCCCCACCTAAGCTAAGACTGTATAGGGATTTGTTTGAATGCTCAATTTAAATGGCGCATGTAGAAAGTGGATCACATTATGTCAGTCACGTACAAGAAAATCCAGTGCCATTGATACCTGGGCTTCCAGATGACGTTGCACATTTTTGCTTGGCCAGAGTGCCTCGAAGATATCATGCTGTTCTGAAATGTGTTTCCAAGAGATGGAGGGCTCTACTATGCAGCGAAGAGTGGTATGCTTATCGCAGAAAGCACAGCTTACGTGAAACTTGGATTTATGCATTATGTCGAGATAAATTTGATCAGCTATGCTATTATGTTCTCGACCCCCTTTCACCAAGAAGGTCTTGGAAGCGCATTCACGACCTTCCTCCTCAAATCCTCAGGAGGAAAGGTATCGGTTTTGAAGTATTGGGTAAAAAGTTATACTTATTGGGTGGCTTTGCTTGGTTGGAAGATGCTACTGATGAGGCACACTGCTATGATGTTTCCACAAACTCTTGGACTGTAGGGCCTAACATGTCAACTGAAAGGTACTGATCATTTTTTTTTCCCATAAGCAATTCAAAAATTTATGAGGATCTTCTAACCTGTTCTGCAAGGTATTTTAGGTTGTTATATTTTTCGCCTGTGGAACTGCAAGATTATTTCAATCATTCAAATGGGGTTATTTGGTATGATAAATTTTTTTGCGAATTCATATGGTGGAAGATTTTTGGTCAAACCATTGATAAAGTGTTTGGTCAAGCTGCAGCTTTAAATAGTTAGATCTAGATGAATTGCTGGACTGGCACAGTTACATTTGCATCTATGCACACACCTTCAGTTTCAGCTTTATTTATCTTTTTAATTCTGATCATACTGTTTAAGAAATTTTCTTTTGGAAACTATCTTTATTCAATGCAGGTGCTACTTTGCTTGTGAAGTTTTGAATGAAAAAATTTATGCAATTGGTGGGTCAGGACTAAAAGCAAGTGTTCCAAATTCTTGGGATGTTTATGACACTTGCACAAACATCTGGGAATCTCACGCAGACCCAAATATTATCCCCGAAATCGAAGACTCATTTGTGATGGATGGAAAGATATACATTCGATGTGGGCAGTCTTCAGTAACTTCAAATGTGTATGCAGTTGTTTACGAACCATTGAATGGCATTTGGGAGCATGTAGATGAGACCCTAGCATCAGGCTGGCGAGGTCCTGCCGTTGTTTTAGATGGCACTCTCTACGTATTGGATGAGAGTTCAGGGACCAGACTAATGGTGTGGGAAAAGGACATGAAGGTGTGGTTGCCAGTTGGGAGGCTGTCACTGCTACTTACAAGACCGCCTTGCCAGCTTGTTGCCATAGGAAAGAGCATTTTTGTAATAGGAAAGGGATGTAGCACAGTGGTTATTGATGTTGGCAAAGCGTGTGGTATGGAAGGGGTGATGATGGCTTCTTCTATACCTAAACTGGGTTCAGATGATAATGTAATTAGCTGTAAATGTCTGGCATTATGAATAACATTTCATTTTTTCTAAAGCTGAAAATTTAATTGCATATGATGAAATTATTTGTTGTATTGATGTGTACATCTAGATGTTTTGTAGAAAAGAACTTCATTAAGTCAGATGACATAATCTCTCTGTTGTTTTTTCTTTTCTTGTTTCTGTTTATTTTGGAATTCTAGCCTCTACCATTATTCTAGAGAACTTATTCTTCAACAAGAATTACTTATATTCTTAACAGAGTCCCAATCAGAACAAGAATAAATTTTGAGACATTTCTTTTAGAGTAAGAAATCAATCATAATTTTATTGCTGAAATTCTTGTCCCACATATAAACTTAAATAGAAAAGAAAATATAACTGCTTTTCTAATACAATAAACTGTAAATAATT